CTTGTAGGCGAAGGAGGGCAACCTCGTACATGTACAGGTCCTTCAACGTGCGGAGTTCTGCGTAAAGTCCTACCTTATGGTCCGCGGAGAAACATACACCAGGTCAAACCTAACGCTTGTAGATCTATAGGGTGCCCTCAAGTTACTCAAAATTCCTTGGACAGCGTCTGTTAATTACGACTGGAGCGGCCCCCACCAGGCTACGCCGACCTGTTCTGTGTGCCCAGAATGACTTACTGACAGTGTTGTAGTTATCATACCCGAAAGCCGCTAATCCAACAGCCCACAACTTCTCATCTCGCTTGACTACCAATCCGCCCTGACGCTGATCATAGTTTGACCCCAATTACCCCTCCCCCACCTCCCTTGACAATCGCACTAGTTTTTCTACCAACCAGCTTAGTTTACGTAGTTGGGTACAGGCCTGATGCGAATTTATCGAAGACAAACGTATGTCAAAGGTAATCAGGCATTCATAGTCAGGGGGCGTCCTCATCTACACATAATTTCCGATTTGGAGTGAAGAAAGTAACCAGGTTGCACTCGTCGATTTTTTCTCATTGCAATACCCCAAATCTAAAAACTTCACAAAATTGACAAAACAATGAAAAGTCATCTAATCGGCAACCAACATATTTGCGCAAATGATGCGTAGAAATGCAATTCCATGGGTCGGAATACAAGGTTTTTGGAGTAAAAATAATCCCAGTGAGTGTCTACGGTGAATCTGTGTCCGCAAAATTTTGCAAATATCTACTTGCACAAACCAGACGTGAGACAAAACTGCACTAGCCCACAATCTTTCTCAGCACTCCTTAAGAACGTAAACCCCTCGGAATCCATCAGTCGCGTTGGACAGATTTGGTGTTGCTCTTGGGACAGCGAAGACCACAATTCATATCATTATGGGGTCGAAAGTCAGACTGCCGCGGTAGGAAACTTCTGCGGTTGCCTGTCAGAATAATTAGGAGGCTCGACCAGACGTGGACTGCCGAGCAAGCGGTGTCATTTGACTGCCAAGTAGCAATTTATCCGACAGGATTCGGTGACACCGTCAGGGAGGGAAATGGCCGCAACTTCTCGCAGGATGTGACGTTCGCGTGAGGGGTGAACTTCTCTAAAATGGTTCGTTGATTTGTAGAACACTAACCAGCCTTGACCAGTCCACACTTCATATGCAACCCTCGGATTTGACAGGGCACGGTAAATCAGTCGCGGGGAGACGCAGACAATATCGGTTAGCCAAGTTATCTAGTAAATAAATTAAAAACCAACCACTAATTTAGTCACAAATACTGTTGCGTAATGGTAGTTTATATGGCACATATTGTAAAACGAAAGACAAGGTTGCTGAAATGCAATATTGACACTCGTTTATGAACTTTTAAAGACGGCTAACGTGGTCTCATTTCTCGGGCCCTGACAGTCCCCGTAGTGGCTAGTATTCTGGGCAGCTTGTACTGTTTATGACTGGCTGACGACGGCTATTAACCCATAAATGGCTATTTCAGTCTCCCTTCTCTTTGCTGGCCAAACGATCTGCCTAGAAATGCAATATTTTCAACGGGTATTCAGAGAAAATGGCTAACCGGACAACTTATTCAACCAGTGCACGCGCAAACAAAATAGGTAAAAATCGCACCGACTCCATATTTTGGCGAGCGATACCGTATGGTAAAACCTTATCGGAGGCCGTCAGCCGAGTTCTTTCTACACTTTGATTTGGAGTCGCACACATACCGGAGGCTGCCACCAG